CAGTACGAAACTTTTGCCCCCAGTTGAATGTTCCGCTCTGATTAGCGGTTTTGCATTGACATCCCATCCAGTTACCATTTGCTAACGTCGTCTCGTTCACGCTCTATTATTTATTAGGTTGCAGGGGTGTCTTTCAGTTAGGCAGCGTAGATGCGTCGCCTGGTCTAGGTTTTCGTAGGGAAGCACCTAGTAGTCCGATGAAACCACGCATTGGGTTGTGCTGCACAATTCGGGTAAGTGCGCAACACCCCATAACTTGCCCTTTCCACCAATCGCTGGCATGCCTCCGCATGGTTTTAACATTGTCTTACTAGGTTCAACCGTAATAAGCTGCATCCATTGCACACAAAGTAGCGCGTACAGGGCTTAAACGTATCCTAATGCGATTTCCATGTATTCCACTTGCCGCATACTTCAGCCGACATTCATCATGGGTCGCATATACTTCTGCGATGGATATTGCCATTAGAAACATTTCAATGAGCTTAAAGTATCCCATACTTGCACAAGATTGAATTTACTTACGTGAATTTTGTCTCATGCATGCACCTGTTCTCTTAAATGCACTTTGCCGCACTGTCTCGGAGAACATGCTGACGTCTCTGTAGATGGCGAAAATAGCAGTAATCGGGGTTCACACTTTGCGGGTTACTACCGATTTGCGCGCTAACCTTCGAAGTCAGGAATATTTGCGAATAGTTTAACCTTCTTGGTTAATTACTGCATATGCACGTATATACCATTTGACCGATTCCGTCAACTGCTGCATTTCAAGTAAGCCTATACCATGTATGTTAGATATTTCCGTATTTGCCTTATATTGGTCGGCAAACCATTTAGCAAACACCAGCACAATAGTCATGCGCCGCCAAAAGCAAGCACTTGGATATTAGCAGTCAAGGTGTAGCATAAATAAAACCAAAACAGTTTCAGAAACCCCAGGCAAGTAACTGAGTTCGTGGAGACAAAATGTCCGGGAACGTAGAGTTGGTCTCGCGTAAAGTGTACTTGTACATGCGCTTCCTTGTCACCGGTTTTGAGGTAGCATGACAAGGAGTTGGGCATCCTATCCTTGTCAACCAACCGGAGTTTATCATTTCTGGATCTTCTTTATTTAGTCCTTTATGTCATGAACAATCTACCCGACACACTTGATGTGCAAAACAACGCCATCTAGTTAATCGGAAAGGCAGTTGTCCGCCAATCCTATGCATTTAATTAGATTGTGTCTTCGGCGGAATTTGCGATGCACTATTCCTCAGTGTGTATGCGTTGTGGGTCAAGAGCGCTGCCTGCGCTGCCCATGAAGACGTAAACCGGAATAGGTACATACAACCGAGTTGCATTTGTTTCTTTTTGGTAGCACCAGTGTTTGAATAATTATGCAGCGGAATGGCTTTACCGCAGTTGCATGCAACGCCGGAACCAAATGAAACGTCAAGTGACTCCGAATACCTTATATCAGAGGTGTTACTAAAACCCATGCCATGCGTGCTTATCGAGGCACTACCCATGACAACGTGCTAGCCAAAACAATGGCCGCTATGTACACTATATGGACGTAATAACTCCAAGGTACGGAGGCGCGCGGTGCCTATAATGGAGTATTTGCCAGTAGCGATCATAACGCCACTGCTCTGGGATCTGCAAAAGCTTAAGAATTCTTAGTTGTGACGGCGTAAGGAGCCAATACATGCCACTGCCTGGATGACAACTGCCAAAGGCCGAGTAAAAACGGTCCATGGAGGCGTGCGGAGCTACTTGTAATGTTGTCGTTAGCGGTGATAACAATGCCACCACGATGATGGCAATAGGGACCCAGTAAACGCCGGTCTTGAATGCCAGTGGTTGGGACCGGTTCGAATGTGATGGTATCGATAAGGACACTAATGCTATAAAAAAAGTACATAAATATTTCTTATTGTCTACGCGATGCGGGCCGTTGAGGGCATGCGCATAATAGTAAAAAGCGATTGAACAAGGAAAGTGCAATAATGTACTAGGCTGTTCATACTTGTAGTTAAATATATGTAGTCACTTGGCTGGGTGTGTTGTTTGTGCAACTAAATGTCTTGTTTTACTTTGGTGTGAGTTCGATCATGCTGCCTGTGTCTGAAAACAGTTTGACGTCTGTGCATTATATAACCTTGCCAGCGTATGCTTGGGCAGTGACATTATCTAATGGCGATGCACAGCCGCCAATTCGCATTGTTATTAAGCAGATATATATGGTTTTTATAGGGTGAAACTTTACCAGGAGAAAACCCAATACTTCCTGGAGCACTGCCGCCGGATTATTTGATGGAAGTGCTTAACCTCGAACCACTGAGCTGGCGCAATGCGACCGCGTGACAATTAAGAACAAGGCGTGCGGAGCCAATAGCTGTGACTTTGCTGGTAGTAACTTGGAAGCAGAGGCCTTGAGAGTCTATGAACCACGATACCACCGTTCATGAAGGCTGGCGGAGCCGCTAATAGAGGTGTTTGTATAAGCAATGCTAAGGTTTCTCAATGGGACGTATATAGGCTTACTAAGAAACAGCACTTTACGGTAGTGTAGCCAACGACTCATACAGGTTTATTGGCGCCAGTGACACCCAGGCTATAGGACTTTTAACATTTAGCTATGCACTACTCATGCAGACGGGAGCAGCCAACAATGGAGTCTGGTTAAGTGTAAAACATGCCACGTCGGTAGCAGTTATATGAGCGTATATTCATCCGTAACTTTCGCAGGAATATAAAGCTCTACATACTCCTTTAAGCATATGTGTGGTATACATGCACACTCATTATTGCCCCTATTAATTGAGTTTATTCATTATTTCTTTTAATGCTATTATTGTTTTCACAACATGAAGAAAATTCGCGATGTCCCTCTCCTCCAGCGACCTCAAAAATCATGGCAACCCAGAGCAAAATACCCGTCCAAGTAACAGAGGAAATTAGAAGGCATTACCCCGCGAAAAACCGAAGGTGAAACCAGTCGTCAAGCGGCTTTGCCAGTTCAACATTAATGTTCAAAATGCTTTACGGCAGTGTTGCAGGACGTGGTGGCTTTTCGCCTGGCAAGCGTTCTCCCTATAAAAAGCCACAAATGTCTGTTTAACAACACTGCAACGTGGCGGTTGTGACTCGCCACTGAATAAAGTCACAGCCCACAACTACATACTGGCAAGTCGACTAGATTCACATATCAACTCTTCTTGACACCATTTCAACTACACACGATTGAACCCGGAGTATCATCGTGATACACAACAGTTTTTAAACCTTAATCATGCCTAAGTTGGTGCGTCTCTATGAAACTGAGAATAAACTATCTATTTATTTATTTTAGCATGGAGTTACGACCAATTTTCTACGATTACTGTCACTGTTGCCATAAAATGTTTGTACAGTTGTACATATCTGATCACGCCTCCATGGGCGTGCCTGTATTGCAATTGAAAACATGCTCTTTCAGTATCTTATAACATTGGATTTTATGGTTGATTTAACCTTCGAAACGTCCATTTGTTTAACTGACTGCACATCCATGGTCACAAACGGTTTTGGGGAGTTCCACGCTGCACGTTTCTCGCTCTGTCTGATTCGCTTCTTATTCTTGTAGCCTGTATAATACACGTTGGGTTCAGTCTCCTCCGACTTCTATACTGTCGTATTTGACACGTATTACGTGTCACTGCTTACCGACTAGTATCCCAGGTTCCGCCCAACAATTGGTGACCCCGACGTGACCCGAACACGCAACCATCTGATCTGGAGTCAGAACTACCAATTCGGTTACGGTCCTTGTGATCGTAATGACCGAGGTCCACTTAGGACCGAGGTCTGAATAGAGATTGCGAGTCGCAATCCAACCACACAGCGAGTACACCAAATGCCACTGGTACGTTTAACTTATTGTGCACGGCATCCTTACCAAGCTGGTTGCCACAGCGCCACATTTCCCCTGAACCTAAATGAATAAATATTTTATTCTCTACTATGCTGGGCACGTCCACTCGGTATATATATATATATGTTCATACCTAACTTTACTTGTTGGAATGTGCCACTTGTTTAGTTTGTTAGTTGCATATTAATTTTAAGCCATTACCCTAATTCTCCGCCGCTCCCCTGGTTTACACTAACGTTTCTACAAAGAAGTTAATCTAAACCAACTGACATAGGACAACACGTGGAGAAAGCATGATGAAGATTTCCCAGGCAATTTCGCATATCACTATTCCTATGTTACCTTACTACGCATGTTTTTATGTACCGATTAACAAAGGTCGCTACTTACCCATACAGTACCATACGGCCACTTTAAAAATGTATGCCTTTGGTAATTGTGCGTACCTACTATCACGGTTACAGTAAACCACACCACTACAACACTTACAGGTGGCCGACTCACGTAAGCATCTGCTACACGCTTATATATGTCATTTAAAAATATATTAAATACATAGTAATATCCTACGTTACTATAATACTCCCGGCTGTGACGATTGTACTGGGCGGGAAACCCCATCCAGTCACAGGTGCGGGCCTGGGCACATATAACTTCAAGTGTGCTTCCGGGCTGTAAGAGAACAGTAAACGAAGCACAACAACCAAATGGTGTACGTATATGCGACGAGGATGCTCCCACGAGCCGAATACCAGGCGGAACGTACGGAGCGGCAACAATTGTATTCAGCGACAAGACAGAAGCAAATGTTTTGGTACAGGCGTAAATAAAACATGTCGCTTTGTTAAATCTAGTCGCGGTGATGGTTGGAGAATTTGGTTTATCGTGAATACGATGCCCCTCAAGGTAGGAAAAAGGGAACAAAATGCGCACTAAAAATAACGCCTTTTTTTAACGAAACAGCCTGATTGTGCTGCGTTACACTGCCTGCTTCACTAATAAGCACTGTCCTCAGTGCCACAAAAACAGATGCGCTCGCTGCAAACGTAGCAGTGCTTGTACGGCACATGTGACCCGAAATCCGCATGAGTTGGTCCAGGGAGGTACAGGATTGTAGAGGTAGCGAACTAATCAACGTTCGTGGCAAAAATTCAGTGAACGGTCCAAATGCTGCAAAAAACAAAAACAAAGCTTGTGGTATAGGCGGACAAAGCTCGTGGTAGCGAATTCGTGGTGACAAAATCTGTAGGATGCATGATAAACAACGTCAAGAAATGAGACAGGGATTACAGAAAAGTTAACGAATCACTATGCGGTGGCCGGCGCAAAATATTTAATGCAGTAGACATTACTGATGGGGAAATAGCTTTGCAGTCAACTCGACCGCGTACGCGCAGGTTTTGTCGATTTTAGCCTACGATGGGGGTAACTGAGCGAGTTCGGAAAGTCTGCTTAAAAGTAATGCAACGTTGTCTGTCTGCGCGACGGGAGCTGTGGGGAAAGATACCACCAGAGTTGGCCGTTCGGTACAGCTGGTAACTGCAGTACAATTTGCTGTGTCCATTGGAACTTAGAAGTACGAGGTAACCGTTTTCCAAAAAAGTAAAACCTCTTTCTCGGAGATGATAGGAGGCAGTATCGCGATGGTGTACTGCAATCTATCGAAAGTGGCAATGCCATCCGGCATTGGCAGAGGGACATCCATACCGAAACCAGCAATGTGGACGCTAACGGTCATGAGAATTGCATGCGACTCCGCTGGCGTGGTAACAGGATTCAAACCACCGATCGCGGTCCAAGGTTCCACGCTGGATAAGAAACTGGCGAGGAACCACCGTAGGAACAATCCGCAAAGTGCCGTACGGATAGGATCAAAAAGTGTACCGATTGGAGCTTACATTGTAAGAAAAACTTGCACCGCTTCCAGGCCCAGGTAGTTGAGGAAACAATGGCTCAGAAACTTTTCTGAAAATCCGGAATAAAAGGCCGGCATTTTTCAATCTTATTCTAAACTGCAGGTTCACGCGGTATAGTTTGCGCTGAACTATTTCAGTATATCCCGCGGAGACGGCCTGCGACACACAGTTTAAATACGTTCCGTGAAGCACGTTCGTGGTTCCTACAAGGATTCCGGACGGTAAGCGAATAGTAAACGAAACGCAACAACAGAATTGTGATGGTAGATACGACGACGATGCTTCGATGTGCCAAATACCGGAACGAAATACGGGGCGGTAACACGTTATTCGGCTACAAGACAGTAGCAAATGTTCCGGTCCAAACGTACATAAAACAAGTGGTTTTGTTATAGATAGCCGCAATGATAGTTTTACCTTTGGTTTTGTCATGAATACGTTACAAAGCAAGATAAGAAAGGGCATAAAACGGGCACTAGAATAACGTATGTTTTAAACAAACCTGTGTGTTTGCACTTGCGTTACACTTGCTTAATTTAGGCAGTCCGCGCTCATTCGAAGATTATAAACTAGTGAATTAGAACAAAGCGTTTCATGTCTTGGCTATTTATATTGTTGTCAGTAAACAATAACTACTCATATACTCGACCACAGGTGCCTTCGTAATTTAGCTCACATCTAGTGGGAACACCGCGTGAGCAACCAGCGTGTTCGACTCTTTGGTTATGGCACAGGTAAAGGAACTAAACCGCTCAGCACAGTTATTTCACTCATCAGGCTCCGATGGCTCGGCCACGTGTTACGCACGCCAGCCCACCGACTCCCGTGACCTGCGTTGTTTGCGCGCCGGGGGTGTGGATGGAAGAAGAGGAGGGGTGGCCAAGCAATGTCTTGGTCCAGAGGAATGAAGACTCTCACTTCTGAGCTGGACTCGGTTGGGGCGTCTCGACACCCTGGTTGGGGTCCGAAAGACCATGAACACGTTTAGTTGGTCACGCTTGCCGATATGGCTAGGAGCCGACCTCAGTAGCGTTCGTGCTGTGAGTTTCTTTGTCGTACCCCATCCCTCTTAGCCCCCCTCCAACCACGATCTTATTATTTAGCCTTATATAATTTTGCATAGTAATTATGTTGGTGCACACCAGGCGGCTGGTAGCTTACCGGAACGATGCCCATCCGTTACCGGTAGCTCAGCCAGCTTGCACCGGTTGTATTTTTTTCTCCTTTTGTCTTTGCATTGCGGCACAGTAGCTGAGGTGTTCCCCACCGCTAGCTTACGTGTACGTGTATGACATATAACAAGGACTAATAGGAAACTGTAAACATTGGCAGTACAGCAGTTGTTTAAGATACTGCCTGTGATCAACGGTTGTAGGTTGTCAACTAACTGTGGATACAACTGGGAATAAAAATTATCGCAAGGCAAAAGCTGGTAGCAGTTCCAAGCGAAGCAGGATTGCACGGTATTGACTAAGTCGGTACATATGAAATCCATATTCTTCCGGTGATTTACTATCTGTTGTTTCCTGATCATCACCACATATAAAATCGCTTTTAGTAAACACATTTGTTGTACGTCAGTGAGAAAATTTTCCTTGTTCGTACGTACCAAATGTGTTTGTGCCATTATGTGGCGCCCAGTTTTTGTCTTTTTGATGATGTCTGTTGACCACAGATTTCTTGCAGCTTGTATCTCGAAGATTAGAAAAAACTCATTGTTCTTTATACTGCCTCTTTCTGCATGCCATCTTCTAAGAGCCGGTTGAGTCGGTGAATAGCACCATAAAATATTTCCAAAATTCGTCGGACAGCTGCCGCAGCTTGCGCTTACATCTTGCAAGTCATTTGGGAAGCTGTGTCTGCTTTGGTCTAAGACTCCGTCAGGTTGTAACGACAACGAGTAACTGGGTGAGAAAGTGACGTCTTTGTTATAGTGGCCGGGGATGGGTATCAAGGGTCGGTGGTAAGGTATTATTTCCACCTCAGACCCCCCTGTCTGAGTACGTTGGTCGTTGACTTGTTGCATGCTAAGTATCACACTAAGTATCACACGTGCATAGCGGAGCATGCATTCCAAATTCAAACTAAGATGGCTCACATATGGAGGGTTGCAAAACCATTCGCAAATCTGTTCGTCCAATATCTGTTGCAGCTGCTTTTGGATCCAAGTTCTGATAATAGATTTAAATACAAATACAGCACACTGAAAATTCTGTACATTATCGGTGTAAAATCCCTATGGTATTTCACGTCGCGCTACACACCTTGAAAAGGCGCACAAGATGGATAACGTAGCCACAGCGAGCGTTATTTCGGTATGTGTTTATTTAACTGAGAGATCAGTGAAGATACAGCCGTACCGTTTGCCCGTTGTTGGTGATTCCCTTGGCTAGAATGGTCCGATACATTTGTCGTCGACCGCGGCAACGGCTGTTTGGTTTGCTATGCAATGGTTCTTGATAGGAGTAGCCACCTGTTGTTTTCAAGGCCCAGATTTTCGTATCTCACGCAGTGCGCAATTCTTTAAAGCTTTGTGACACGCTGAAACAGTACTCGGGATCTAGTAATGCACACGCCAGTTGTAAGAACATAGGATGCTTCGACATGTTCCTTTCCTTCAAAACAAGCTAAATTATTCAGCGTGATCCCGATGTGCTATGCAGGAAGTAGGATGGGTCTTTTCGCGTTATACGGTAGTGATATAAGATTCAAGCTACCACAATTTGGTAGAATACCACTGCCAAAAGAGGAACACTGTTCTTTTAACGAGCAATTAAAACGTTTAAAACACTTGACTGCCTCGGTTGCTTGCACCCTTACCTTTACTTTAACAACATCCGCAAAGCTTAATTGTACAATTCACAACAATTCCGTTTACTCTTCCTTAAGTTCGGACTACGTCAAACGAGACTCCGACATGTAACTCAGACACATTTCGCGTCTTTGCATCAAATGCTCCTTAAAACGGAGCAATAAGCATACACTTCGTTTCAGTCTGGGAGAAGTCAAAAAGCAGACGGAACAGACGAGGCTGACTTAGTCGGCGCTTTGAGGTCGCGTTTTATAGTTAAGTTAGAAAGCTAAACTGATTGCACAGCGGAAATGAGTAGGTAAGAGAAGGAAGAGCGGAATTAAAAGGTGAGCAAGTCCAGCCGCCTCACTGGTAACGGAAACAAAGCCTTGGATCGGAAGAGTTCAGACCGTATACCTCTTCAGAGTCTGCAGACTGTCAGAAAGCAAGAGACCGATAGGATCATACTAAGTCAGGGCACGACACTAAGCGTTAGCAGTCCGATTAAAGAAGGAGTAAAAAGGTATAGCACATCAAAGAAAATACAGGGTTAGAAGAAATACATAGGTTGGAACTGCAAGAGGGTATAGTAATAAATGGACACGTCTATCAGGCTCTTGATATTAAGGTCACCTAAAAGCGAGTCCGTAGACCCTATACCGTTTATACCTTGGTAGTCTAAGAGCAGTCAGAATGAAGTAGATAGGTCGGCTGAGGTTAGATCATGCATGGCACTGGAATTTAGAAGTTCAATGGAGGATGGAATAAAAACATGCAGCTTGATAAGGGACGAACGCGAAGTCATGCTGCAAACCGCAGCTGGGATACATCCACTCTAGCTAGGGTTGGTGATGGCTATGTCTGGCCCATCTTATAGCCGCCTACGTTAGTTTTTTGCTTCCTCAACCATTTTGTACGCCCTGGTTGATGCCGGTGTCGAGCTTAGCGTTATCACTCGTGCTTCGGAAGCCGGCAACCTACCTCCAATCTGGCTGATGTTGCAAACGCTAACAACGTAAAGTTCGATACATACGGCCAGAAAATGCTGACTCCCAACCTTGGTCTTCTTCGAAGTTTCCCTTCCTTTATCACATTGCTGACGTCCAACGACCTATATTTGGTTTTGCTTTGCTCAACAAGATTTGTCTCACCGTGGACCAGCATAACCGTAAACCGTGCGATTATTTGACACAATACGTTTCGGGTAAATGCAGGCCAAGAAGTTCGAACAGTGTTCGCTTGGCATTCCCCACCGACCATGTGTTCACCGAACTACTTCCGCAGTTACCTGCACTTTATTCACCGTCTACCGACCTTACTGAGCCTGGGCACAATATTAAACAGTACCGCCTAACTCACGAACGACCATCAACTACCTGACTTCGACGACTACATC